ACCCAGCCGTTGACGCTACTGAGAGGTGGCGTCGCGTTGGCAACAATTTCGCTGATGTAAGGGGCAAATATGGCCCTTCTCCTTCACCCTTCAGATGATGGCTTGCTTCGGGATGCTGATCGTGAGGTCAAGTTTGCGAAGGCTACTCTTAAAGTTGCCAGTGCGGTACTTCATTTGTGGCCCTCGGTAGATTTGTCTTCTGTCGAACGGATCCAGCCACCTTCCACTATAGCCAGTGCCGTTGCTGGCCATCTTTGGGCTCGCTGGTTTGGTATTTGGAGGTGCTCGTTTTGTCTCAAAGGATGTCGGGTCATGGTCCCCCCCACCAAAGGTCGGCGCCCTCTGGACAGCAAGCTCCGCGCTGCCCACCAGGACCGCCTTGGCCACAAGACCTTGGGTTTTGAGTGCTCTGACCAGTCGTTCCTATTTATGTGCTTGCGTTGTACGAGCTACTCGTCTGGTGGTGAAGTCAGAGGTTGGGCTGAGCGCTGTGTTCCCCCGACTCGAGCTGGCAGACTGGCTTGGGTACAGCTTTGTAAAGGCAAGCGCCCTCACTACACTCGTCGTAAGATCGGAGTTTCTGTGGACGTCGACGCGTTCGTGTAATGTGTCAACAGGCCAGGCTTCGATGAGCAGATAGATTTGCAGCCCTTGGTGCAGCGTTTTTCTGGGGCTGCGGATCCCCCCCAGCCCACTGGTGGCCCGTGGGTCCTCGAGGGTTTATGAAGGGGGAACGCACCTGTTCTAAAGAGTGCGACACAGTGGTGTCTGCTGGCCTCCTGGCCAGACCTCCTCCCTCTTCCTCCTCTGGCGTGGAGCGGGGGGTGGGGCCTGGGCGGGGCGGTGCGGTGAATTGGGACAATCTCTTTGTTGCTGAGCAGGAAGCGTCTAGCTTCCTTTTCGATCGAACAGCTTGCGTTTCTGGTGCTGCTCGCACTGCGCCTGAGGACGAGGCACTCCAGCAGGAGATGAGGCAGGGGCCCCACCAAGAGCTGCGACCGGGACAATCCTTCTTTCCTGGCGAGACGACGACAGGATGAGTCGGACAGTTCTGATTAATGCTTCTTTGGCGCAAGGGCGCCCTTTCTTATTTCTTCTCTCTAGCACGGCCCGATGCGTCTGACCTTTTTGGCAGGCATCCGTGCTATACCCCACATCTGGGGCGAGGTTGGCAGTCGTCCTGGCGCTGGCTGCACCAGGGACTGCTGGCCTCGTCGTCCTTGTGTGGGTGGTCGGTTTTCTTTCTGGCGTATGTGCGCCTTTTCTTATTCGTTCATGACAGCACGGCCCGATGCGTCTGACCCTTTCGGCAGGCATCCGTGCGTTACCCCACATCTGGGGCGAGGTCGGCGGTCGCCCTGGCGCTGGCTGCACCAGGGGCTGCGGGCCTCGTCGTCCTTGCGTGGGTGGTCGTTTTGTTTCTTTGTGTTTTTTCTTTAGAGCGCAGTCTCGTGCGTGTGTGCGCGCCCGTCTTGCACGTGCGTCAGGCGCCCCGCTTCAGGGGGAAGGCGCGCGCGCATTTTGGGCGCGCTTCTTCTTTCTCCGAGCACGGGGGTGGCCCCATCCCGACTGTGGCTCGGGTGAGGTGTTGCCGCGGCCAGGAGCCTGGCGCTCTTGGCCCCGGCATCTCCCCTCCTCTTGCGTCGCGCGGCCGTCTCGTGCGTGCGCGCGCACGCTCGCCGCGCGTTCCAGGCGTCCCGCCTCTGGGGGCAGACGCGGCGCTCGTGGAGGGGCGTGATTTTTAACCGTCGGTCCTCTTGCGCAGCCGAGGGCAGTCGGTCCGAGTTTTATATATATATATATATACATACATTTGCCGGGCCCCTGCATTTGGCTTTGTCTTTGCGCTTGCAGCTCGGCGTCCGCTCTGTTGCCCTGCGCGCCTGCCCCTCTCTTAGAGATGTTGCGGCAGGTGTGCTTGGAGCGGGGGCGTCAGGACGAGGGGGCCCCTTTGGTCTCCCGAGCTAATTTCACTTGCGCTGTTGACTCAGACTTTGCTGTCTGTGTCAGGGAGCCAGCATCCCCCTTCCGCCGCTGGCTCTGGCCCTCGGTTCTCGCCCGAGGATGTGGAGGTGTTGACGTGGATGTAAAAAAAGACTTGGGGCCCTCTCTAGGCGCTTCAGGGATGTGTTGGAGACCATCGCGGGCGTCTTGGAGGCCTTTTGGGCCGTCTCGGGGACCTTTGGGGCCGCCTTGTGGGCGCATTGGGTCGTCATGGGGCCATATTGGAGGCCTCTTGAGCGATCTTGGGGCGACATTGGGGGCCTCTTGGGCCTCGCTGTGCCGTCCGAAGGCCGAAAAGGCGCAACTGACAAAATCCGCCCAAAAGCGGACGGAATATCAATAACGCTGGCCTCTTCGAGTCTTCCTGGGGGACCCCCAGATCTAACTGCTCCAATGTTTGGCCATTTTCGATCCAAGACGGCCCAAGTCAGCCCCCACAGCGCCGAAGAGGCCCCCAAAAGGCTCAATACAGCCCCCAAAGCGCCCAAGATACCTCCAAGACGGCGTCGGAGAGGTCCATGAGGGTCCGACAAGAGGGCCCAATTTGGTTTCAAGGCAGCTCAAGAGGCCCCCAAGACGCCCCAATGGGCCCCCAAGGGGACCCACAAGAGCCAAACATCGTCCCATTCCTTTGGGACAACGTGCATTTTCAGCGTATTCGCTTCTCTGGCTTTTCACAGCGTCCGAAAACCGCCCAGGAGTTCCCCAAGATCGCCCCAAGACGGCCCTAGAGGCCCCCAAGACGGCGCAAAAGCAAGAGAGGCCCCTGAGGGTCCCGAGAGGTTCCCAAGATAACCCCAAGAGGGCCCCAAGACGACCCAAGCCCGCCAAGACGGCCTAAGAGGGCCCTAGGACGGCCCAATAGGGCCCCAAGACGGCCAAGAAGTCCAAAACAGCCCCAAAAGGACCCCCAGGAAGACCCGGACATGCAGCCCACATTGTCGCACTGCTGTCGGCTGGCCACGTGGTCGCTGGCAGTGTGGAGCTTCGGGGGCGGGGCTGTTTTTCTGAGTCGTTGCGTTCGGAATGATGAATGTTGGGGCTGGCGCAGGTCTCGAGGAGCAGCTTCTGGGCGATTCGTCTGGACCTTTTGGGGGGTTGTCGGGGAATCGCTTGTTTTTGTCACTGGGTTTCTTGGTGTTCGCCGTTCTTGGTGGGCTTTTGGAGCCTTCGTGGGGGCGCATTGCCCGTGGATGCTCACTTTGATGCCGTTCGAGTCAACACAACCATTCCCACCTGGCGTTCCAACGGAATCAATGGTGCTTCATGCTGGCGTGCCCAAGGCGAGGGAGAAGGAGGAGGAGGAGGAAGAGGAGGAGGAGGAGGAGGGGGAGGAGGAGGAGGAGGAGGAGGAGGAGGAGGAGGAGGAGGGGCGGAGGAGGAGGAGGAGGAGGAGGAGGAGGAGGAGGAGGAGGATTAATAGGGGAGGATTGGGGCGAGGAGGAGGCCCTTTGATGGTTTCTTCGGGCATGTTGGGGCCAAACTTGGTCGTGGACAAGACGCCCCTTGGGAAGCGTCTTGGGATCTCTTGGGAGGCCTCTTAGCGGCATTTTAGGGGCCTCATGGGGGCATCTCGTGGGCCGCTTGGGCCCTGTGGGGGGCCTCTTTGGGGCCTATTGGGGTCTCCTGGGGACCTTTCGGGGCCTATAGCACGACATGTCCTTTCCGTTCCCCCGTCGGGGCCCTCTCTTTGAGCCGCCTTGGGGGCCTCTTGGGGCATCTTGGAGGCCTTTAGGGCTGTCTTGGGGCCCTGTGGGGCCGTTGTGGGGCGCTCATGGGGTCGTTTTGGGTCGTCTTGGGGCGATCTTGGGGGCCCTTGGGGCCGTCGTGGATCGCTGGGAAGCCGAAGAACACCATCCGTCAAACACCGCATGCATTTCTGCCTGTTTTTGCCTCTTGGGGGGCCTCTGGAGAGGCGCCTTGAAGGCATATCCGGACGTCTTGGAGGCGGTGGGGGCCGTCTGGAGGCTATCCTGGGCATCTTGGAGCGACGTCCAGTGACTCGGAGCCCTCTTGGTCCGCCTTGGGGGCCTCTTGGAGCCTTCTTGGCGCGCTCCTGGACCGCTCTGGGGGAGTTGCCCTGGCTTTGCCCAGGCTGCCACCGGGCATCTCCGAACACCAGGGCTCCCAACGGAGAGCGGCGATGTAACAAGCTCTTCACACCAAGGCTCCCCAGAGCGGAGGGTGCCATGAGCCATCTCGGGCACCGTTTCCGTGCCGGCCCAAGTCCAATGGCTTCGGCCCATCCCGCCACCATGCCACATATGAAGCCTATTGGATGTTCGTTGGAATCTCGTGGGGGCTCTCTCGGGGGGCCTCTTGGAGACAGTTTGGATGCCTCTTGGGGGCTTCTTTTTTGCATGTTGGAGGCCTCTTTTGCACCTCTTGGGGGCCTCTTGTGGCCTCCTGGGCGCCTCTTGGAACCCTCTTGGGCCGTTTGGAGCACCTTTTGGGCCTTCTGGGTGCCCTCTTGGGAAGATTTGGGGCCATCTGGAGGCCTTGGGCCGTCTCGGAGTGGTCTTGGGGGCTTCTAGATCCGTCTGGGATCGTCGGGAAACCGAAACGGCGAGAACGCCTGAACCCTTTCACACACCATAGCAATATTAGTGATTCTGGCATCCTGGGAGGCCTCTTTGAGGCGTCTTGGAGGCCCCTTGGGCCGTCCGGGAGCCATCTTGAGCGTCTTGGAGCGATTGTTCGGCGACTCGGGGCCCTCTTGGACCGTCTTGGGGGGGCCTCTTGGGCTCGGGAAAGTCACGCGGCAAGATGCGGGCGAGCTCAGGGGGCCCGCGGGAAGCCAAAGGCACGCGCCAAGCCCCATGGGGGCACACGGGAAGCCCCGGGAGGTTTGCGAGCGAGGCGTCCGGGCCTGGTGAGAGTTTCCGCGGGAGTGAGGAGTGAGGCTCCGAGGAGTGGGCACGGGACCCTGGGGACACGCCCACTCCGTGCCCAGCGGCACGGTGGCGGATGCGATTATGCCGATGCTTCTTCTGGAGGAGCTGCGCGCCGACGCCGACGTTGCCGAAGACGCCGTTGGCCAGGACTGGCGCGCCATCGAGCTCGTCGCCGAGGAGCTTCACGATCATCGGCCGCTGGTGCTGCTGGCGGTGAAGGGCAACTGGAAGGCTCTGGGCTTCGCTTCGGAGCGGCTCACTGGGGACCGCGAGATCGTGCGCACGGCCATTGCGCAAGACTGGCTGGCAATATCGCATGCTGCGGAGGAGCTCAAGGCCGATCCCGAGGTCGTTCGCGAGGCCGTGTCCAAGAGCTGGAGGGCCCTGCATTTCGCGTGCGATGAGCTCAAGGCGATGCTCGATCGCGTTTTCCTGCTCCCGCTGCTGCTTTTGTTGCTGTTTTGTTGTCTCCTCCCCTCTCCTACTAATTACTACTCCTCGTATCTTCCATGCTCGAGCCATCCCTGCTTGTCGGGATTCTCCACGCTCCTGGCAATGTCAGCCAAGGCCCTTTTGTGGACATCATGGATCCTGCATCATCTTCTCTTTGTATATGTCATCACACTCTAACTTTCCAGCGTTGCCGTGAGTCGCAATCAGGATTTCCCCGCGAGTTTACACTCGCAAACATGCAAAATGTTCAATGAACCAGCAACTTTTGGTTGCCAGTTCCTTCATGCAGCGCACGTGAGCGGGGCAAGATGTGCTCGATGAAATTCAAGCGCCATCTGGGCGCGTTTGTCTTGTCTGTGTTGGTCTGTCTTCGTCTATTTAAATTCAGGTATTGTTTGTGTCTGTGTCCGCAACACCAGCAGCAGGGCTGGAAATCATATTCTATGGTGACAGGTAAGCGCATTGGCATCTGGACACCGTTTTACCGCGACTCTGACCACAACTCAACTCCTGCTCTAACTTGTTCGCACGATAGGGCAATAGGGCCAGGCATCCAGTCTACGTCCGTCTCCTGACTGAGCTACAAACTCTTTTGCGTCAGTTCTTCACCCAACGTCTGACTGAGTCCCTTGCGCTGGAGGCGCGTGGAGCTTTCTCGCAACGGTCGACACGGCCAGCCCTTGCAGGTGTTCAGCGATGCCAGTCGAGGAGAGACGCAGATGTATGCCAGGGCGCTCTCTTGGGGGCCTGCCCAGGGGTAAAGACAGAGGGGACCAGCCTTCTCTCAGACTGCGGCGGGGCTTCTCAGAAGCCCTGGCGCCCTCTTACGAGAAGACTTCGCCGAAGCCGCAGGCGGCTTCTCAGAGGGCGCGAGGGCTCCGGAGAAGCCCGCCTCCTCCTGAGAAGGCCGGCCGCCTCCGCGTCTGCGTGTCTGTGTGTCTGCGTGTCTGTGTGTCCGTGTGTCTGTGTGTCTGTGTGTCTGTGTGTCTATGAATCTGGTGCTCTGTGTGTCTGTGTGTTTGAGTGTCTGTGTGTCTGTGTGTCTGTGTATTTGTGTGTCTGTATGTCTGTGTGTCTGTGTGTCTACGTGTCTGTGTTTCTGTGTGTCTGTGTGTCTGTGTGTCTCCCCCCTCAGGGCGGGCCGTCGAATCCCAGGCCGCTCGTGTCTCGGCCGCCGGCAGCCCCTCGGAGGCGGGCCGCGGGCGGGGGGGCGCCTCACGCCCGCCGGGGGGCGCCGAAGCGTGCCGCACAGGGGGGGACGGGGGCCCTCGGTGGAGCCACCTTTGGGAGCTGAGAAGGGGCACGGTGGCACCCCAGGACGAGAAGCCTGGAGCAGGCGGCTCAGCAGTGACGAAGGCGGAACTGTGGGAAGTTTGGGAGGCACAGCGCTCCGGCAGCCCGCGCAGCCCCCGCTGCGGCGTGCGCTGCGGCGCACGCTGGCCTGCCTGCCACCTCAGGACGCGAATTGGTACAGGTCTCGGAGACTTTATCGCGCACCGCCCTCCAGGTTGACGCTCGTTAGCTGGGGGGGATCGCGGATTGCATTGCAGGAGAGTGGCCTTGAAGATGCCCTACACGGCCTCGAAGTTGCAGCCGCGGGCGTTTCAAATGTGCGCGTTTCTCCACCCCGCTTATTCCGCCCAGCGAACGGGCGCCCAATCCAGCGGCGCCGGCAACAAGGCGCTGGAGCGCACACGAACAGCCGCAGATCGGCCCCTCTGCAGGAGACTTCAGAAGGATGTTGACTCGTGTGGCGGTCCTGTTGTGGGTCGGCGTCGGGAGGGGCCAAGCGAGGGGGCGGGTACATCTCAGAGGTGTCGCTGGAGAGCAGGTCAGCTCCACGGAGGTTTGTGAGGCGCGGTCCAGCCTCCACATGCGACCGTGCCTCTCTTGGGCCGTGCCAGAGGAGGAGGAGGAGGAGGAGGAGGAGGAGGAGGAGGAAGGAGGAGGCAGGCTGAAAGGATGGTTGGGGGTGCTGTTGGGGGATGGTGGGCGGGTGCTGGCCCCCTCGGCACGCTTCTGGTGGGTCGCGGGCGTCGCGGCAACGGATGCTACAAGCGTGCATCTAGGGCGAGCGCAGCAGGGAGGCTGAGCGAGCATCGCGCTGATGCGTGCTATAGCGTTCGAGTCGACCAAAAGGCGCACATATTGGCATCGCTCGAACGTGTGCAGTTTTTTCTCGGCTAGGGCCATCGAGGAGCATCCTAGATCATCTGGCACAAAATGCACGCATGACACCAAACATGCACGGGGAAAGGACGTCCGAGCGATGGCAAGACGTAAGATATCAGGAGGCCAGGCGATCGCAGCGATGCGTGCAGGCGATCTGGCCGGCGCCCGAAGGACGGTCGAGTCTCGACCAAGAGGCGCACAGCAGTCGCGGGCGGGCGATTGGCACGAGCACAGTGAGCAAGATTGTGTCCGCGAAGAGCACCACCCAAAGGGTTTGTGTTCGGCGCAAATGATGTATCCCTGGTTGGCTGTCTAGAAACGTCTGCTATGCATGAGCAGCATCGTATCCGTAGTGGCTTCGCCCCCTGCCGCGGGCCCCCTCTCTATCGTAATTAGATCTATCAGAGTCGCATCGGTGCATCCCGGCGCTGCCTTGGCGCATCTGGGAACATCATGCGGGGGCGGACAGGATTCATCAGCGCATATTGAGACTTTGGCGTTATCCTAGTGGCTTTCCGCCCATCCCGCCACCGTGCCTGCGTTGTGGGTCTGACGCCTCTTGTATATGTGTTGGGGTGTCGTGGGGAGCCTCTCGGGGGCCTCTTGGAGGCGGTTTGGGCGCCTCTTGGGGGCCTCGTGGGGTATCTTTGGGCCCCAAAGGAGGCCTTTGGGGCGCGTCGTTGGCGCCTCTTGGGGCCTCCTGGGGCCTCTTGGCAGCCTCTTGGGGCTCCCTCGGGGCTTCTCAGTATAATTAAATAGAATTCTCGGTCCGCGGTCCTCTGCCTGGGCCCCTTTTGGGGGCATCTTGGGGCCATCTTGGGCCGTCTTGAGCGCTTCTTGGGCAATTTTGGAGCCCTCTTGGGCAGTCTTGTGGCCGTCTTGGAGGCCTCTTGGGGCGGTCTTGGGAGCTTCTTGAGCCGTCTTGGAGCGTCGGAAGTGAACGCCGAACATGCGAGAAGGTTAACATGTTTGAAACATCGAGAACTTACGTTTTTGGTTTCTTGGGGCTCTATATGGAGGCCTCCTGGTACGCTCTTGGGGCCTATTGGGGCCCTGTTGGACCTCGGCACAACCCAGCGGCCGTCTCGCACAGGAAAGGCGTTACTTGCCTTCTCTGGATGCGGCATCACGCGGCAACGGGTGTGAGGGAGATCATTTTTCATTGCCGCCGCGCGGAGTACAGTGCATTGTCCCGAGCTGGCTTGGCACAACCCAGCGGCCGACTCGCAAATAAAGACGCTGCCTGCCCTCCTGGAAGAGACATCGCGCGGGAGTGGGTGTGAGGGAAATCCTTGTTCATTGCAGCCGCGCGAAATGCAGTGCACCTCTGCTCGGTTGTTGTCCCAAGCTGGCTCCGCACAACCCAACAACCGACTCGCAAATAACGACGTGGCTTGCCCGCTTGGAAGCGGCATCACGCGGAAACGGGTGTCAGGGAGATGCTTGTTCATTGCAGCCGCGCGGGATGCAGTGCACTTCTGCTCGTTTGGTGTCCCGAGCTGGCTCCGCACAACCCAACAGCAGACTCGCAAATAACGACGCGGTTTGTCCTCCTAGAAGCGGCATCGCGCGGAAATGGGTGCGGGGGAGATCTTGTTTTTCATTGCAGCCGCACGAAACGCATTGCTCCTCTGCTCGGTCGCTGTCCCAAGCTGGCTCGGCAAGCCTTGGAAACTCGTTGTGGCAGTTTGTCATGCTCTGGTAATGTAGGTTTGACCCACATTCATGGCCGATGTTGGTCATGTCGATGATGATGGAGGTGACGATAACGATGGTAATGGTGGTGATGATGATGGTGGTGATGATGATGATGACGGCGACGACGACAACGATTATGACGATCATGATGATGGCGATGATGAGGAGGATCATGGTGATGGTTATGATTGCAGTGATGCTAGACGAAGGCGACGAGGACGATGCCGATGACGACGGTGCGATGGCAGAGGTGTCATGGTGATGATGCCAGCGATGATTGTCATGATGATGACGGCGATGGGTGGCTGAGGACGAGGACAGGTAGGGGGTACAGTCACCCCGCATAGTAAGGATGAGCAACGTTCCAAGGCTACCCTTGCACCCTTGCCCCTTCGGCCCATCCTTGGCGACTTTCGTCTGCCAACCTCGTTCGTAAAACCTGAACATGGCCCTCCACGGCCCTTGCATCCTTACCGCACATCTTTATTCGTAAGGGCTTCGCCCCCTGCCGCCGGCCCCCTCTCTCGGATGATGGGCCATGGAAGAGCGAAGTCATGAGGCTTTGGCTTCACCGTGAAGCAGCGTCGGAACTTCATGCGAAGACGATGGGTAATTGGCAAGACGAATGGAGATTGCGAGTCTATTGTTGTACTCGCTGTTGCATTTTCCATTTGCTCCCGTATGCTGTGCCCAACTCTTCTCCCCGAATTTGAACATGTTGGAAGTCTCTTGTGTCCTGACCGCCGATCTGCATGAGGGGTGCCATCGATTTTAAGAAATGTAGCACATCCCACATGTTTTTGGACCCTGACCCCGCCGATCTGCGTGAGGGGTGCCACCGAATTTCAGAAGTGCGGCACATCCCCTGTGTTTTTGGACCCTGACCCCGCCGATCTACGTAAGGGATGCCAGCAAATTTCAGAAATGTGGCAAATCCTCTGCGCTTTTGCACCCTGACCCCGCCGATCTGCGTGAGGGGTGCCACCGAATGTCAGAAATGTGGCACATCATTTATGTTTTTGGACCCTGACCCCGCCGATCTGCGTAAGGGATGCCAGCGAATTTCAGAAATGTGGTAAATCCCATGTGTTTTTGGACCCTGACCCCGCCGATGTGCGTGAGGGGTGTGACCGAATTTCAGAAATGTGGCAACTCCCGTATGTTTTTGGACCCTGACCCCGCCGATCTGCGTGAGGGGTGTCAATTTTTACCCACCCCAGCAATTCAGAGCACACGCTCAGGGCGTGCTAAATCTGCCCGTTTGGGCCTCCCCCCCTCGCGCGGTCCATCAACAAGGAACAGTAAGCAGCAAGAAGCAGAACTGTAACAGTGGAAACTGGAAGCTGCAACTGGTACAGGAAACTGCGAACCTTCGCCCTACAGCCTGGTGGCCCCACAATGGGGCCGGCGGATTTAGTCGCTTCGCTCACTCCGCCGGCCCATTTCGCATCACGTCGGCTGCATAGTGGTGTGCTCGTACCCATGGGGAACGGTCGGGCAGGCAGGATTGTCCTCGAGGAGGTTTTCGGAGATGTGGCTCGCACCCTGTCGAAGAGAGCCGATCGAAGGCACCAAGATGGCTCAAGAGAGCTCCAGCAGAGGTTCGAGGCGTACCTGGGTTGTGGGACAGAGTCCTCGCGGATGCTTTTTGGGGTCTCTTCTAAGGGTTCTCGGAAGTTTCTGGGGATCAGTTTTGAGGCTTTTGGGGAGCCTCTTGGGGGCTTCTTGAGAACCTCTTGAGGCGTCATCGGGGCCTCTCCGAAGTCCTCTTGGAACCCTCCTGGAGCTTCTTGGGGGCTTCTTGGGCCGTCTTGGGAACAACGTGGGCCATCTTGGAACGCTCTTGGCCTGAGGCCGTGGGGCGTGCCACCCTTTTGGCGCCTCACTGAGGCGCTCGGGGAGTCCCCGAGGCCGCGCCCAGGAGTTCTGGCATCTCTGGCCTGACCCTGACGGGACCTTGCCAGGGTACTTTTCGTCCAGCGACCCCCAGGGGCCGCCATGCGCGCGAGAATTTGAAACATTCTTGAATTGTTACCGGAAATTTTAGTACGCTCTCCAAGGCCTTTGCATACTTACCGCGCATCCTCATCTTGCGGCTTGACTGTAGGATGAAGAAT